CCAACCCAAACCATTCTATGATTCTAAAGTGAATACTTATTACAGGATTATCAGCTATTAACAAGAACATTCCCACGCCATTTGGGATTAAACCTTCCTTAATTTGCTGTTTATAATCCTGTGCAGAAACCAAATTAGTTAATCACCTTCACCCGATTTGGCTCAGGTCCCATTTACAGAACTCATGTTGTAAAATGCCTGTTGTCCATTACTGAACTGATTGATTACTGGCTTTATCAATTAACTGATTTTCTAATCTGTTTGATTCAAGTTCATTTTCATTGTGTAGACAAAAGCGACAGTAATGATCTGCAGATTATTATCACAAGACGAGGTGATCAAAGATTTAATTCTCCAAAAAGCTAATTTCCTCTTATTAAAAAAAGCGTCCAAGCAATGCAATTTCACTTTAAATACTAAAAGTGTTTCTCTCAACCTCTCCCAGCTTACATACCTTCCTCTTATTGTGATAGGTGACATAAACAACAGCTACTAAGAAGGCAACTACAACCAGATGGAAAAAGAAATGGCTGTCATCATCTTCTTCTAACCCTGTGACAGAAACATCTTTTATCTTCTCATCAAGGGTCTTGATCTCCTCATTGTAATTACTAATGATGTCAGAGTCGTCATCTTCTGGTATCTCTAAAAGGTCTGGGTTGTACCTGGAATTCGATGTCGTTTCATAAGTACCATAGTCATCTCCATCTGATTCCAGAGTTTCTTTGATGATGGGTGGTGAACTATTTAACGTGTCTTTCAAATCTGTGAGAAGATCCTCTTCCTCAATTTTAGTATCTTCAGAAGCATCAACATCCATTTGAGATACAGGACTAGGGGTCACTTCACGAGACAGAGCATATGGCAGAGAAACACCTTTTGCTGTAGATGGTTTTACTGCGGTCACTGAATTGATTTTAGCTGTTGTTGGGAGCTCCTCTTTTTTTGTTGGGGTTACACCCTGCAAGCTGTCTGTCAAATTCTGGGATCTGTTCGATGTTTCATTCTCACTTTTAGAAGACATATTTTTTTGAAGCATCTCCACTTGGACAGAATCTGAGAAAAGAATGAAAAACAGTCAATATTAAGAACAAGGTGCTAATTCTTTTGTGATACTTCAGCTATAAATGAAGATTATTGCAAGGCATTTACTTTATAGACAAGAAATCACACGAACACGGTGTATTTCACACTGCAAACTTTCTAGAATTCATATGCAGAAATATACACTCCTGTACCTCAGCAACTTCAAAGAAGAAGTCTTGAGTGGGACAGGAATTAAAGTGTGGAAGCACAAGTTTACTAGATTAGTATGCCAAAGTGTGCCTGAAAAATTTAGTAAACATATTTTCCAGACTTAGAACTTCAGAGACATGTCTTCTCCTCCTGTAGAATCATACATGATTAGTATTTCCTCCATCATCAAATTCTTCCTCCCACAGAATTTGATGAGGTCTACAGAGGAAGAAGTTCACAGTAAAGTTTCTCCTGCAGTTAAAAGTTTTTCATCTTTCACCATTGCCTATTATCCCAGCAAAAAGATGAGAACATGCTGCAATGTCTCCTTCAGTCAGGACACAAGATCCTACCATCTCTTCCCAGGCACTTATTTTCACTGAATTTGTAGAAACAGAAAAAGATTTCCAACCTTAGAAAACCTCAAGTCAAACTATCGAACCAGAGGTTAAAAAACAAAGCTGAAGAAAGGACAATCTGGCTGCATATGCTCCTGTAGGAAAAGCCTTTTGTTGGCAGCAAATTATTGTCCTGAAGGAAGTCAGCAGCAGCGCTGGGTAACACTGCAACCAACGCTAGGATAACTTTGCAGAACTATGTGAAAAACAAGGTGAGCGTTAAAATCATATGCAGGGCCCATCACCCTCTTCTCTATCCAAAAGAAAGTAAAAAAAGATACAGAAAGATAATAGAAAGAATAATAAAATAAAGATACAGTTTATAAATAGCCAATATTTTTTTAATCCTAAAAAAATACCAAAGAACAAATTATTCATGTTTATAGCACGTCACTTCCAGATTCAAATCAGGAAGCACCTTAAAAATTAAGAACACATTTTAGACTTTCAGTAAACATGACAATTTAAATAGTGGAACCATACTTACCTTGCATTTTGGCACTCCAAACTATTTTTTATTTTTAAAAAGTAACAATACTTTCATTAAGCGCTCCCAAGGAGCCCCCTGGTTCACTGGAAAGTTACAGAAACGGAGCATTCAACCAACTGCTTGTGTCAAATTACTCGTAAGTAAAATATTATACAGGGGACAGTGAATCACGTTATTCACGAAACGTGTATGTACAGAGGCGCAGTTACAACAGACTTCTTGTTTACATGGTACACTTTTCCAGTCTGAACTACTCTTTAACCAACTGCAAAACAGAGAAGACTCAACAAATCCCCTATGAACTAGAGATTAAGAAGCCTCTGTGCTAAAGTTTTGAGTCAACTGCTTTACATTCAACACACTTAATGCTGAAGAAATTACTAGTTGGAATTATTACATCGACACGAGCTTGTTCGGTTCTTGTACAGGACAACTTTAGAGGATTCTTATCTCCCCTCAGGAGTCAAACCAGTTGATTGCATATGTGGAGATAAATATGAGGAAAAGAAGATGCAAGATGATTCCATATTTATTGGTATTTTATGACTGAGGTAGGTAGATCTTACTGCTACCCTCAGCAAATAGACAAAAAGTGTTAAGACAGTAATAGCCAAATTGTTTTGAAATGCAAACAAGCATATTCTTCCTACAGAACTACACTGTATGGATCCTTACGGTTCAAATTATTCATAAACTCATTTTAACCTGAAACTTTAAAAGGATATACGCTTAAACGCAAGGAATTCCCACCAGCAAATCCTGCAGCTTCAGAGTGAAAAAAGAATAATTTCCCATTATTCTTAAAATAAGTGATATTTTGTTTCACTAGAGCAGCAAGTTTAACAACTAGACCACAATTGATTGATGATATGTACACAAAGCTATTTGGCACCATAAACTGTTTATGGTTACACAACACTCACTGCCAGATGATGTTGGATGTAACGCCCGGACTCCAGAGATGCCTCAGCTTCAGAAATAGACGTTAATGTTTTATCCTGGTGACGGAACTAGCAACAGAGTCCGCTCCATAAACACTTCATAAGGAAATTAATCTGACAGGGGCAAAATTCACTTCCAGGAAAAGTTATTTTTTTTTAAGAAATCAAGCTGGTCCATGATTTTTGAAGTTAAAAACTCTTGGTTTCCTATAAATTTGCATCCCACATCTTGAACCTCATTAGACCCTGTGAGGGGCAACACAAACAGATACACTGACCGACCAGCAAGGAAGGAACCAGCTGGAACCAGCTCCCTTCATTTCCGTCAGTAATTCCCTTTCTCTTCAGCAATTCTCCACCTAAAACAAAGAGGAACTCGCCGCCCTCGAAATATGTTTTCTTAACGTTTGGTTACAGTCGGGAGGTTGAAGGGAAATAGGAGAAAGAAAATTGACTGAAGCAGGAGCCAACCTGCACAATATTAGAAGCTGATTTTCAGAAGGGGGGCTAAAAACAGACACCAGTGTGGATAATTACAACGAAACCTCGGCGGACGCGGAGACCTTCAGGCCCAGAAGCGCTGAAGACGAGTTCGGTGAAAGACCGGCGAGCCGGCAGCGCAGCGCCCGCA